CCGGATAATTTCGGCTGGTCAACTGGGGGGGGGCGACGATTTAGGAAAGTTTGTTTGGAATTAAGCACAAAGCTACAGTATGGGCTATCTGTGCTCTGCCCACCACGGGTATCGAAACCAGGTTTCTAGCGGTATAAGTCCGCAGACATTCCGCTGTGTCACTGGGGGGGGGGGAGCATTATTAGAACCTGGTTTCAAAAAGAAACACAGAATTACCTATTACTTCTCGAAGTAATATATGGAAAAAAAAAAGTCCTTACCCTCGTCTATCGTGCAAAGAGGTCCTATCCATGTTCCGTTAAAGCACTTTATCTTACACACACGCTTTTGTTCCAGTGGACCGATGATTCCTAAAAACTGAACCTCGTGAACACCTTTAAAGTTTGTTCCTCCTCCACCGGGTATAACAGAGCCGTTCACAATGACCTCTGGTGGCGCACAGTCTCCGCGGTACTCTTTCATCAGAAGAACTAAAGCAACGAAAAATATATTTATAGTCAAATCACAAGGCGAGGAATCGTCCGAGGTGGCTATAAATATCTCGTTAAATTCTATTAATTGCAATAAAGGTTTTAAGTAAACAGCTAGATATATAGAGATAGGTAAATATATACCTTTTCTCGGTAGAATAAATCATATATTCATGACTTTTACTAGTGTATCGGTACAAAATATGAATAACGTTTAACGTCTAGGTATTTTATAACATAGAAAATATTGCATTATATAATCGTATAATCACTTATGAAACTGTCTGACCAGCGTTTTAGCACGATGAATAAGTATATTTGTATGGTGCATATCTGTTCATAGTGTGTGTTTGCTTGTGGCGAAGCCTTGTTTGTTTGTTTGTTTTGAATTTCGCGCAAAGCTACACGAGGGCTATCTGAGCTAGCCGTCCCTAATTTGACAGTGTAAGACTAGAGGGAAGGCAGCTAGTCATCGCCACCCACCGCCAACTCTTGGGCTACTCTTTTACCAACGAATAGTGGGATTGACCGTCACATTATAACGCCCCCACGGCTGAAAGGGCGAGCATGTTTGGTGGGACGGGGATTCGAACCCGCGACCCTCAGATTGCGAGTCGAGCGCCCTAATCACCTGGCCATACCGGGCCTATAAATGACGATAAGATGGGTTGGGCGTGGCCAAGTGGTTAACTTGTAGGGCTGCCGAACGAGGGACCGAAGGTTGGAGCCGTGATTCCGCCGACCATTATCCGCACTTTGAACTGTGAGCGCGTTACAAAAGTGATAGTAAATCCCACAATTCAGTTAAAAGTAGAAGGGTAGGTGGCAGGTGCTGTTTACTGGTTGTCTTCGTTTTGGTAAACAGATCTAAGTTAGGGCTGGTTATGTGTGTTTAATTAAATTTTAACATCATACATATATTGGTAAACAGATCTAAGTTAGGGCTGGTTATGTGTGTTTAATTAAATTTTAACATCATACATATATTGGTAAACAGATCTAAGTTAGGGCTGGTTATGTGTGTTTAATTAAATTTTAACATCATACATATATATGTCTTATTTTCACCTGGTTGTCTTCGTTTTGGTAAACAGATCTAAGTTAGGGTTGGTTATGTGTGTTTAATTAAATTTTAACATCATACATATATATGTCTTATTTTCACCTGGTTGTCTTCGTTTTGGTAAACAGATCTAAGTTAGGGTTGGTTATGCGTGTTTAATTAAATTTTAACATCATACACATATATATATACATATATATGTTTTATTTTCACTCCTATATTCATTTTGAATACTAAACAAAAGGAATTTTTAAGTTGAAGAAAAGGCCTAAAAGAAATTCTATGTTAAGCTATGAAAAGGTGTTATTTGAACACAGCAACGTTTGTGAAATTGTTTTTAAGAAGTTATTTTTATTACAATGTTACATTTATCTTTTGTAGCTTATTCAAGGCAAATCCCCTCAAAATAAAGATACTAATGATATCAATCCTGATGCTCCCCTCAACAAAGGCACTAATGATATAAATCCTGATATTCCTCTCGATAAAGATACTAAGGATATAAATTTTGGTATTCCCCTCAACAAAGGTACTAATGATATCAATCCCGATATCCCCTTTAATAAAGATACGAAGGATATAAATTCTGATATCCCCCTCAATAAAGGTACAAAGATATCATTCTTTATGTTCCCCTTCAATATAGGTACCAAGGGTATCAATCCTGATGTCCCCTTTAATAAAGAGACGAAGGATATAAATTCTGATATCCCCCTCAATAAAGATACTAAGGTCTTGGTGTTCCCCCTCAATAAAGATACTAAGGGTATCAATCCTGATGTCTCCCTCAAAAAGCTACTAATGATATAAATCCTGATATTCCTCTCGATAAAGATACTAAGGATATAAATTTTGGTATTCCTCCTCATTAAAGGTACTAGGAATATCAATTCTAATGTCTTTCATGAAAGTGTTTAGTGTAACAATGATGGACATTTTTAACATTTGTCTGATCATGTAAACACTGCTTAATCATGAAGAAAGGTTTCTTGTGGATCACTCTGTACATTGATTATAGAAAGTTAATTTAACTAAATAGCACAAATAAGATGTTTTTCCCACCTTTCTTGCTGTAGCGGCAAGAAGGTCGCGGTCACTAGTATTTTAAATGACTCAGCGGTAAGTCTAATAAGGGCTTATAACGATAAAAATCGAATTTCGATGTCCATAATGGAAAGAACGCAGATAGCCCTGTTGCGTTCAATAATAAAGGGATAAGTATTACGGATTAAATTTTGATTTTTCTATCTTGAAGCTATAATATTGTGTTGTTAATATATTAAACCAATAGTCTAAATTCTATAATGGAGTTATTGGTGTAAAGGAATAAAAAAAAAAAGAAGAAAATTCTACCGCTTAAAAATGTTATTGCACATGGGCCAGAAGTAGTTATCTCGAAAATATGTATGGTGGTTAAGACTCGGGTTCGAATCCCGTCACCGAAAGTGCTCGCTCTTTCAGCCGCGGGGGCATTATAATGTGACGGCCAATCCCAATTCTCGTTGGTAAAAGAGTAACCCAAAAGTTGGCGGTAGGTGGTGTTGACTCGCTGCCTTCCCTCTAGTTTACCACTTCTAAATAACGTCCCCACGGCTGAAAGGGCGAGCATGTTTGGTGGAACGGGAATTCGAACCCGCGACCCGCAGATTGCGAGTCGAGCTCCCAAACCACCTGGCCATGCCGGGCCACATTTTAACAAAATGACAATAATCATTATTTGAGTTATAGATTTATACTTTTTCGACATATTTGTTTTGTTGTTAAGCACAAATCTACACGATGTCTATTTTTCCCCCACAGTAAGGCTACAGAATGGGCCATCTGCGCTATGTTTACCACGGGGAATCGAACCCCGGATTGCTGCAGTCATTTACTTCTTTGTTTTTATATAATAACATAATTTAAGAAACGTCATTTTCTGGAATTATAGTTGCAATTCATCTCTCAGTTGTTTCTATTCAAATTCAGTTCCAGCAATAAAATTTACAATTTCGATTTGTTGAGAGTCCGCCATTTTGTACGTCAAATATTACTTCAGTGTAATAAATGTTTTATTATTACACCGATTATTCCTTTATAATGTCGAATAAACACGTTATTGTTCTGTCAATGACACAAATAGTGCTTCTCAACTGGGTGAACGGTTCACCCAGGGATTCACGAGATCAGAATCGGGGTGAATGAGTATTATCAATTATACAACAAATTCAAGAACGAAAAAAAGTCATTAGTTATTATTATTTATTCTGGTTGTATTTTATATTTTGTTTATTTTATGTTGTATTCACTCTAGTTGAAGTTTGATGTATATTTAAGTCGTAATAAACAAAATTTTAATTTTAATTTAGACCTTTTTTTTTATACTTTTGTCGAGTCCTTCGGTGAGTCAGCGGTAACTCTTCGAATTTACAATGCTAGAATCGGGAGTTCGATTTCTCTTGGTAGACACAGCAGATAGCCCGATGTGGCTTTGCTATAAAAATACACACACAAACACACACTTTTGTCGAACGAGGGTGAGTTGTTATAGGGGGTGAACGACATTGGAAAAGGTTGAGAATCACTGATCTATACGACGATCTATGTCCCTAATTTAACAGTGTATGACTAGAGGGAAGGCAGCTAGTCATCACCACCCACCGCCAACTCTTGGACTACTCTTTTACCAACGAATAGTGGGATTAACCGTCACATTATAACGCCCCCACGGCTAAAAGGGCGAGCATGTTTGTTGTGAGTCGAGCGCCCCCTAACCACTTGGCCATGCTGGGCCGAGACCTCCTAGTCTTCGTTAGGATGAGTTACTGCAAGTATGTAGACCGAACGCACAGTAGAATATCTACATAATAAATATAATAGTGTTGTCTCTTGCCTGTCCATGTAACTATTTCGCAGGGTATAGATGAATCTTCACCAAAATTGGTATGGAGATTCTGTGTTTTGCGACTTTTACACAGTTACATATAAGGGAAGCAACTTTTCACGTCCTCAGATAACCTTTCGTTAATCAGGAATTTACATAACATTCGCCCAGGGGACGGGTACTCCAGCTAGTAAATAAATATATTAAAACTAATATATAATATGTTGTTATTAATGAAACCTCCCAGTCTTCATTGCGATGCGTTACTGCAAGTATTTAGACCGAACTCCCAGTAGAGTATTTAGTAATATGTTGTTATTAATTTCAAAATACACCGTCGAAAACTCCGCATATATATATATACTGTAGAACAGTAAATGAAGAGATGGTAGGTAATAGCTGTTCCACGTGTAACCTACTGACGTCAGAGTTATGAAGTAGTAGGTGTGGCTCTTCTATCGAAATGAAAGTGTGGGCGTAATAAAGTTACATAAGAACCAGAATTCTAGTTATATAACTATATTGATAAATTTGTAGCACGTCTGTTGACAAAAGTTCAACACGAGGGCTGAAGAACGGAAGTTCTAGGTTCACGCTGAAAATGCTCTTTACCTTCATCTGTGGGAGTGTTGTAAGAGTGACAATTAATCCCTTATTCGGTTCAACTCCAAACATAGCCCTTTCGGAGGCGGATGTTTGTGACTAGTTGTATTCCCACTGCTTAGTGGCTCAAAATGAGGGGCGGCTACACTTGAGATATATAGAGGTCTCTGACCAGACTTTTAACCCGTGGGTTTTGGCGAAGGTTAACCTCGTGATTCGGATGCATTAGACTCTTGTTTCAAGACCAGGGAGACTAAAGATTTTGTTGTTAACATTTGCACAAGTCTACTGAAAAGGAAAACCGTTCGTTTAGATGGTTATTCAGAAAGCCACGTGTAATGTAGAAATAATAATAAAACGAACAAAAACACGTGCAAATTTAATATTTTATAACAGTTAAGGGCTGGTTGGAAGAAGCTTATGAAATATAATTTTCTTTTGTTTTTCTCTTTATTTGGCAGTGTTTGAAAT